TGATGATATTATGTAACATTTAATAATAATGATGATTGTCATTATTATAATTAAATGTTGTTCGGTTACAATTAAGAAAATTGATTATTCCGTTATTACTATTATTATGTAATAATTATTAGAATTATTATAGTAATAACGATTATTGGTTTTTGAACCGATGGATCAATGTTTTGTGTCGTTACTATCATCATTTGGTTTGGATTTTGATAGTATGATTTGAAATCATAATTTTGAAACTATTTCATTCTTGATCCAAAACATGTGTTAATAATGATATTGTTATCATTATTGTTTTGGATTGTGATAGCCCACTTTGATTAAGTATGAATATTTGATTTTATATTCATATTTTTGAGTTTGTTTTATGCATATAATTAAATTAAAATGCATAATATTATGGTTTAAATTATGCAATTTGATTTTGTGAGAATTTAATTTGTAAATGTCAACATATCATATAATTTTGATATAGTTAGAATTTACAATTTTAAGCTAATTCTCATAAAGTTTACTATATGCATTGAATCATTTAGTATTGGGCCTACAAGTTAAAAACTTTTCAACAATTGAAAAGTATACAGTTATTTTAAATTATTATTCAAATTTTGTAATCCTTTAAGTTTTGGATTTAAGTTGTTTTTTGAATAATAATTTTATAGCTCATTTTAAATTGTTATTATGATGTACAATTTATTTGGATATGAGCATATTGAATTTCACATATAATTGTTCACTAGCATAACATTATATTTTCTAGTTATGTGAATTTTATTATGCCTTTGGAATTGCATAAGTTAGGAATTATAATAACTAGTAATTGTCACGTGCGATGCACAGATAATATTTATAGACTATTAAGTTAAGTTAATTGAATATTAACATAAGAATCGTTTATGAGAAAGTTTTACTTGAAAGATAAAAATGTATAAGTTCTACTAAAGTATCACATAGAAATCAAATTAGTATAACAAATACATCAAATTATATCGTGCATCGCGATGCATAATTAATTATGTACCGCGGATCAAAACGACGTTGTTTTGTTTAATGAAAAGAAACGACATATGTTTCCTGCCGTTCCACACTCTTCCGCAAAAAGTAACTCTGTTATTCAGTTTCATTTTGTATACACTGTAGTTTCGGTTCAACACAACTACAATTTCATTTTCATATAACTACAGTTTCATTTGGTATTTATAGACTCAAATATGTGAAAATGTTATTTAATTTAATTTTATATACACTATAGTTTTATTAAAACACAACTACATGATCATTTTGATATAATTACAGCTCCATTGTACAATATACACTCAAATATGTGGAATGTTATTCAGTTTCATTTCACCACAACTACAGTATCATTTTGATATAACTGAAGTTTCATTTGGTAATATAAAAATAATACGTGAGGCAATGTCGGTTTAGATATACTGTAGTGTCAGTTGGTTATTAACATATACAAAATGCGCGCTCCGTTAAAAGTAACGGCGCGCCGTTTCTTTACTTAAAGAAACGGCGCCGTTTTAACTCCGGTGCATACAAATACTGCACCTGGCCGTCTCTTCTAAAAAAAATACATAATTTGTTTTAAGAAAATATATTAATATTATTATTAATCCTAATATATTGATATTATTATTAACAATAATAATAATAATAATAATAATAATAATAATAATAATAATAATAATAATTATATAGCTTAGTCCACGTATCCACTACTTATATACTATTAATATTAACTAGTAATTCACCCGCGCGATGCACGAGAAAAAATTATGTTATTATAAATATAAATAAAAAATAGAAAAACTAAAATATTTTAAATTATTTAATATAATAATATTTTTGAGCTTCCATTGGTCAAGTATTTATTATTTTTATAGAATACAAAATTACAATTAAAATTAAAATTAATATTAAAATTATAATTTTATATGGTTAATATAATCTCTAATTATGTGCATATTCAAATAAACTTATAGAGAGAATTTACATAATTACATTGATTTATTCTTAATTGTATTTCATCTATATTATAATTTTCACAATACGAATAATAACTAAGATAATTACATTTGGAAAGCAAATTTCAAATTTTGTATGTGTAAATTTAAACTCTAATTGAACACATTTTTTATATGACTATATAATATATAGCTATTTTATTTTTCAAAAGTATATTTTTTATATGATTATATAATATATAGCTATTTTATTTTTTAAATGTTGTACTTTTTTTTTTATATAATAAAAGATGTTGTGGCATTAATTGTAACATTAATTATTTTCCAAACCATATAGCTTTATTATATAAAGGATATATTAAACATAGTATACTAATTTGTTCAAAATATTAATTTGAACATAGTATTAATATTAATATATTAACACACTAATAATAGATTAATAATATTATTGCTTGTTATGGAAATTTACACACATAATATAGTTATTAATATATTAATTAACACATAAATAATTTAACATTATTATTGCTTAGTGAACCAAATTTACGAAAATACCCTCACAGCCCTATAATATCTAAATTGGCAATTTTACACGGCTACTGACTCCATTTCCAGAACTTTCTCGCTGTCTTCTTCGGTGTGCTAGAGGTTCTACACAAGGCCATACCATCTACTATTTTACCTAGCAAATTCGTTTGTATACTTCAGCTGGTAGATGATCCTATGGCGGGTTCTTCTTCTTAGCGATTTTATGTCCATATGGCCTACTTTGTCTATTTCTACAATCCCCATTTTAGATCTGTACATTCTAGCCGTATCTATCAATTTCATAGTTAAATTTCCTATTCTGGTATGTTTTCTAGTATATCTCTCACTTAATTCCAATTCTATCATACAATTCTTAAGAAATTGAGTAGATATAGTGAACCCTAACTATTAAGGGTTTGTTTACTTACTAAGTCGCATTAAAGTATATATTTGATGAAATCCTTCTTTCTAGATCACATGCATGACGATTTTGACATCCAATTTTGTATTCTTATGTTAGTATCTGCATTATCTTGTAATCTATTGGGTGGATTCGCAGTTCTAAAGTCAAATTTGAAGCAAAATACTTTCATTTTGTTGTTTGAATTTTTTTTATAAGTAAACTTTCTATTTAACAAACGGGTTTAAATGATTCTGTACCTTGATTCAAAAAAATTTCATCTCTATTCTGAACATGTAGGCTATTACTAAGACCAATCTTAATTTGTGTTTATAGTAGGTATGTTATGTCTTCGTGTATTTCTCTGCTTACTACCCCTTATATAACACGATTTTTCTAAATTTTTTGCCCTGTATCTAAACATTTTAGTTTGCCTTATACGTTGTTTTGTGATTCATTGCTATGTTATCTATGCAGTGCTCTATGGTTTTGGTTTCTGAAGAGGGTAATCCATATAACAGTTTTTTGTTGTGTTCGCAGGCATATGAGACGTATGGTTTACAGTAACATCAGCCTTCTGGTTGGATTCGTATTACATGTATTTAACAATAACATATATGCAAAATGATAAACTGTACACATCGGTCCCTAATATTAAAGAAAAGATGAAGAGTTGGTACCAGTGTTCTAAAGGTTGTTTCCTTTTCCTTCCTATCACAGCTGATTTTGTAAATTGTGTTTTTTATGTATTATCATTAACCTCAATGCTCCTTTTATATGGATCCCAATCACTACATTCAGTTTTATACTGACTTGTTGACATTCAAATCCATGTTAAGTTTCTTACCTAGTTTTAGATTTCATTGGTTTAATTTTATTTTTCTTAGTTTTAAATTTAATTTTAAGTTTCTTATCTAGTTTGCATCACTATCAGAAAGTAAGTATCATATATTCACTTGATGAGCTTAGTAAAGTTTTTGAATGGTTATTGCAGCAGCACAGAATTCTTACACACCTCAATTTTTTATTATTTTTTTATTTTTTAACTTTAATTTGATGGTATGTAGTTAGTATTTTGATTTGTCCTATAGAGCTTAATTATTGTTTTGAGTGAACTATTGCAGGAAATAACCGTAAAGGGAATTCTTACACTGCAAAAGTAAGTTTTCATCTATTGCAATTAGGTAAGTTATTAATACGTAAATTAGAGTTAATATACTGTTTTTACTATGCCTTTTGAATCACAAAGTTAAATTTCACATTGTGAAATTTTGATATTCAGAGATTTGAAATACATGAACCATGTTCTGACTTGAAATGTATTCATTTTTTGTTATAAGTACAGTTAAATAAACCACCCATGTTGCATCTGTTTACTTGATTTCCAGCTCTGCATTCCTTACCACTTGTGAATATCCAGATTGCAATGTCTTGCTATAATTACCTACAATGTCTTGTCCTTAAATTTCGTAGCATACTTTAGCATACTTTGAAACCAAACAATTCATTTCTGTGAAACCAAGATCCAGTTCATTGTATTTGAAGTAATTTTTACCCAAGTTTTAAAAATTAATGCTATGTGAGGTAATGTTGAGGAGGATAGTTAATTACACTTACAAATTTAATGTAGTACAGTAAAAAATACAAAAATTTGTAACTAAGTGTGAAACTACAATGCATCTAAACATTAAAACAAACAAAATATTGTAACCAGCAGTTTTATTCTGATGTAAAATTAGGATTACATTACATTTATATTCTTAACAACAAAAACTATAACTCTTTACCTTGATCTATGTTACTTCGATTGTCTGTGAGCAACCCACAACCATACAATAACAAATCTGGGTTTTCTTTCAAAGATGTGAAAGACCTACTATTGGTGCAACACATATGCATTAAGAAATATGTTTAGAAATTAATAGTGCATATATACATACCTCTATGGTTTTGGTTTCTGAAGAGGGTAATCCATATAACAGTTTGTTGTTGTGTTCGCAAGCATATGAGACGTATGGTTTACAGTAACATCAGCCTTCTGGTTGGTTTCGTATTACATGTATTTAACAATAACATATATGCAAAATGATAAACCTTACACATCGGTCCCTAATATTAAAGAAAAGATGAAGAGTTGGTACCATTGTTCTGAAGGTTGTTTCCTTTTCCTTCCTATCACAGCTGATTTTGTAAATTGTGTTTTTTTATGTATTATCATTAACCTCAATTATGGGCAGATTTGAAGTATTGGAAGAAGGCATCTCAATTGTTTGTCTGTAAGTATTACTCGACACTGCATGTGTTCCTAGATTTTTAATATTTCATATACAGTAATAAATATATATATATATATATATATATATATATATATATATATATATATATGAATTTCCTTACAAATAATTTTATAAGAGCTATCAGACTAACCTTGACAGTAAGGCTGTGTAATAAGATTTAAGCTTATTACCTGCAGGCTTGTAAACTTATACCTGTATCTAAGAAAACAATCTTTGAAGGTAAGATCAAAACTTATCCTTCATTGTGGATCACTGCAAATATGGACACAAGGTACATCATTAGGCTTTTATTACTCAAGTTCAGTCTGTAATATTTTCTGATTGATTTTTGTTCATTTATTTAATTTTCAAATTAAATATAATTAACATTCACTGCTTGCAAATGATGATAATATAGTCTGATTTTTTTTCAAAATAGCTCAAATATTTTCTGAGTACAATATAGCTTTTTTTTAAAAAAAAAAAAAAAAGACTAAATTAAGAGAACTCACTTTACTCCTTCAAGCTTAACATTGAGAATGACTTTATCCTTTGAAGTTTGTGTTGATTAGAACTCATCCAGAAGGCTCTCTTTACAACTAAATTATCACCCACAGCATCTTGGTTGCTAGCAACACCAACCACAAGAGGATTTTTTCCTTCATCACTCTCGGCAAATTCCTTAGAGAATAACCATTGGGTACATGATGTATGAGAGATATTTTTGGAAGGGATTTGTTGTTCAGCAACGTGCGGATAAATGCGTAGGCCTTTGTCTACTACCGGCCTTATTTATATAGTGGTTGAGGATCAGATGCGTTGGATACTCAAGGTCATCATCTGATACGTTGGATCGGAGATATGAAGCTAGAATTTAAATCCCTATTAAGTATTTAACACCATTGTTATGCCCTTTTATATTTTTAATATAATATATTAAATATTAACTATTGTAACAGCAATGTAATTAATATTGTGTTGCGCCTTTTTGTATTATTTGTATTCTATTAGTTCTAGAGTTCTACTACCATCGGCAAAATAGAAGACTGTGTAATCAATTAGAACTGATCGTATTTTGAAACGGCGCATTAATTATATTTGTTTATTATGATTAACTATAATTAGTAGGCAAATCCGAAATTGCTCCTTATTGTGCCAATCTGAACAACAATTAGGCGGGAACCATAGGGTTCTGCTTTATTATAATAGAAGAGAAGATAGAAGATTCCTTGTTAAGGTGAACCTTGTTTGTGGAATAATAAACGGTAGTGCATTATGTTTAAGCACCTTTAGACCATTTAGAATGTTCACTTGAGATTAAAAGTCTTTCCATAGGCGAACTATTAAAGATTTGGAAAGATTGCTCGTCAATTATGCCTTTAGTGTGAGAAAACATGAACCGGTGAAAAGTTTCTCGGGAAGGGGCCAATGTGCTACTAGTTCCCTTGAAACATTACTCTGTCTAAGGAGTTGGTTATTTTTAATGAGGCTCCGTCCCAACCAACTTTCCTGGGAGTACACTTGGAATTGTTTATCATATTGTTGCATAATTGTTTTTAGCCTTTAAAGTTGATGCCTAAGATATTAAGAAAATAGTCTAGTGATCTTATAATTTTGATTAATTAAGTAATAGCCACGGTATCTTTGATTAATTGAAATTTTGTGAGATCACATACAGTAGACGTATTGATTGTGATTAATTATATGATATAATAAAATTTAGCCCACAGGCAATTTTGTTATGTTTATATAATTAATTAGGGTAAAAACACCAAACTATGATCATAATTTAGCCCACATGCAATTATGCATCGGAATATAGTTTTGGTGAGTTTTATCATTATAGATAGGAAGGTAAATTTATTTAACATATGGTTTTAATATAAATAAATTGGCGTCTTCTATCATAAAGTTATGATATATGTACATATTCAAAAGTATTTTTATGTGTACATTTTGTGGTATTAGTCTAGTTTCTTTTATGTGTATTTATTATGTATGGAAGAAATTTGGATTAATAGCTCGGTACATTAATATTCTTTTGTGTACAAATATCAAGTGATCAATACAATTTCATAACTGAAATTATTAAGTTATTTTGATCACTTTGTGACTAATTACATAAAGTATAATAAAATCTACCCACAGGAATTTTGTTATATTAATGTAAATAGTCAAGATAAAATATTAAATCATATTTCTTAATTTACCCACAGGGATTAAGAAAAGGAACATGGTTTGATAGTTTTATCATAAAGTTGTAGATGAATCTAATTGAATAAAACTTCAGCCCACAGACAAGTTTTATGTCACTAGATTCTTCTATCCCCTTTGATAATAATTTTATCATAAAGTTTTAGTTGAGTCTAATTGAACAAAACTTTAGCCCAGAGGCAAGTTCTGTGTCACTAGATTCTTCTATTTGATTATCATAAAGTCTCAGTTGAGTCTAATTGAATAAATCTTTAGCCTACAGGCAAGTTTTATGTCACTGGATTCTTCTGTTTAAATTGATGATCAAGATAAAATTTTATCATACCAATTTAGAATTTATAACTTTAAGGCTAGTTATAATTCTATGTCACATGGGTTGCATTGGCAACACATGTATTTTGTTAAACTCCAGAACTTTAGTAACTTGAAATTGTTACTATATGTGGCTTACTTGATTTTTCAGCCCAACCACAATAAAGCTTTTGAATTTGGACTTGATATACTTTTGGATCCTTATATTGGAATTGTACATATCTAGTCAAATTTCAACTAAAGCAATTTAATTTGTTTAAATAGTTGAAAATTGTGTCTGTTACATGTACATATTTAACATGTCCAACTATGATGGAGAATTATAATCCTTGTTAAATTAGTTGGACTTGAGGATCATTAGTGTGTATATCATTTATGCTCAAGAATAACTTTATTAGTGAGAGTAATGGTTTGATCAGTGGGAGTGATCATTTAAAAGATCAATAAGATGTCTCATTTGATCAGTGGGAGTGATCATTTGGAAAGATCATTAAAGATGTCTCACTTCAAGATTGCTCCACTTCAAGGATAAGACACCTTGCCTTGTTATTATAAAATCAATAGTTCAATTTGTTGAACTAGCTACAAGTTTGTGCAACATATTTCTGAAAATTTCGTAACAACATTAATAGTTTTTATTATAACAATGGCATTAAGTTTATGGTGAACTATCACGAGTTAGATTCTTTAACATTTATTGGAGTCTTTCGTCTCATCAAATTGATCCTGGGCCATTAAGATTTAAAAGGTTCAAGATTCAATGTTGAGAGACCTAAAGCATGCAAAGACTCATGATGTTGGTTCATATAGATGAATCTTGAGGATTTTTTGTTTTATGATGATACAATAATTTTGTTGTTTCATAAAGTTACATTAATAAATCATCGGTATTGCTCTATGACATGAAAGTTGGGCTTCCTTCCTTTGTTTTGGAGATCATTTATAAGGTGTATGTTTAAAGTTCCGTTTGTGGGCTTAGACTCATGAATTTGTTATCTAAGTCGTTGGAATATGGACTACTCAATTATTATCTTTGGCTAAGATTAATGAGAGTAGGAGTGACAGACGTGTCAACTCTGAAAACTTAGTTGTCAGCGATAATATTAAAGATAATGAGTTAGTCGTGCGATATATTAGCATTTTTGCTAATAGTTTCAGATCCCTAGTTAAGGCATGCTTATAAGAATTTTAGGGATTATAGAGGGTACATGGAACTTATTATGTGACTAATATTGTACGTACATTTATGTTGTCACCTCTATGTAATTTGGATGGTTTCTCCTATGGTTATGCGCATATGTATTTGAGAAACATCCATAAGGTTGGACCAAGAGTAAACGTAGGGTTTATTCATAAAGGACCTGAGTTGGGAATCAAAATGCATGTGATGCATAGATGGTATTACTCACCTTTTGATTTAGAGGACATACCACTATGATTCATGTTTTTTGATCTTCAACAAAGGTTGTGCCAATACTTGCACCAAGTGAAAAATTATAACATTTTTCATTAATATTGTACAAATGAAGTTGTGCAAGTTTATTAGGCCAAATTTAGCCATTGCAGCAATAATTAGTTTTTGATAACTAATTATAATCAAGAATGAACATAAGGTTTATTCATTAAGTTTTATACCACATAAGGTACTTAGAGAAGAAGTTACATTGTAATCATAAGTGGATACTACTCTCATTAAGAGGAACTATCTCTATGGTTCATGTTTTTTGCTTCTTTGAGTTAACACTTGCACCAAGTGGGAGAATGTAACATTTCCATTATGTCACCATTAAGTGGTGCAAGTTAATAGGCCATTTATGGCCATAATGTTGTGGTTTGAAACGGAAGTAACGGTTTCCGTTACTTAACCTATAATGATGGCACGTAGGTTATATATATGTGTATGGTCCTCCCACTGCTCCTGTGACTTGAGACACGACACCATCTAGTTTCTCGGGAGACTAAGTGATAGACAAAATCCTAAAATTCTTTACTGCTCTTCAAACAATGCAACGTGGATTACAACTATGGCTGGAGATTCTTGATCATATGCTTCCGCTATAAGGTTAGATTACATGTATTATTTGTGTATTTCTAACACAATGCACAACCCGTATAATTTAGAACTCATTTCAAATTTCATTGTGATTACTATACTTAAATAAATCCTCAGTTATTCATTCCAATTCTTCGTTTTATCATTTCAATTCTTCATTTTTATTAAAATTTGTGCATCGGAAGCTAAATATGGGTCATTGTACCATTTCATATATCATTGATTGTTGATTCTAATTATTACTAATTTTGTCATTAATTGCACAATACTGTAGGTTTAGTTGAAGTCTTCCGATGCACAATTATTAGTTAAAAATGGTGATTACTATACTTGAATAAATAAAATAATAGTATTAAATTTTGTAGCATCGATTTAAAATCTATTCTGTTAAGATAATAATAATAATAATAATAATAATAATAATAATAATAATAATAATAATAATAATAATAATAATAATAATAATAATAATAATAATAATACTCCTTAATAATAATAATCCAAAACTCTTAACATAATTTTCTAATATAATTTTCCTAATATAATTTCCCTAATAATAATAATTATTATTATTATTATTATTATTATTATTATTAATTATTATTATTATTATTATTATTAGTAATAGTAATATTAATATTAATAAGTAGGGGCATTTTGGACTTTATACTACTTATTCCCTTTAAATACCCACGTATACCAAATCTTGGCGTTTTGCATGTTACACAGATTGAACTCATATTGTATCATTGGGTTTCCCCCTTCCAAATAAAAAGAAAATGGTACTTTAAATTCCAGTGTTTGGTTTGCAGAAATAGAATTACTGAAAATTTCAATTCTAATATTTCGTATACGTAGGAATTGAAAGAGAATAAGTAGTATAAAGTCTAAAATGCCAATACTTATTAATATTAATATTAATATTAATATTAATATTAATAATAATAATAACAATAATAATAATAATAATAATAATAATAATAATAATATTATTATTATTATTATTATTATTATTATTATTATTATTATTATTATTATTATTATTATTATTATAAATCCTAAATAACAAAATTCAAAATTTGCTTTTGAAATTTTATGTAACACGCTGTAAATAAACCCAAGAATTGCATAACAAAAGCAACAAATATACATGAGAGTTTTGAGAAAACATATTTGATTGAGGTTGGACTACTAATTAACGTTTTATGTTGAGAGTAGAAGAGACACGATATAACCGAAAGAAAGATGTCAAACATCACACTTAGGTTAAAAAGAGTCGGGTAATTTTGTCTCAAAGTTATTTTTTTTCGTCCTAAACTTCATGGAATTGAAATGCCAGGGGGGTAGGTGTAACACCCCCTAAAACCATGCTAATTAAAGCCTTAAAACATGCAGATATCTAAACAAAAACATCAAACACAGCGGAAGACTGAAAGAGCAATTATATAAAACAAAGGAAACGGGGTGCTATGCCACGCTCACCCAAGGGGTAACGCACAGGCTAAATCTGCATTGTTTAAAATCTACAATCATCCAACAGAGTACTAAGTCTAGATTGCCTCACAGGCCACAAAACATAAAAGGGAGCTATACTAGCTGGCACTAAACCGTGCACTCGTCTAAGCATCACCTGAAAGAAGCATATAAAACATGGGACGACGCCCGGTCAGCGAATAATGCTGGTAACCCACCAATACATGTGAAATATCATACATAGATAAGGTATAAGTTTATAAAGCCATTTTCGAAATGGAATACATATATATATGTCCAAAACCAAGAGTAATAGTCAACACAAGACTCAACACTCTCAACAAGAACACGAGAACACATCCCAAAACTACCAAGACACAACAACGACTCACAAGAAGTCTCAAGGTATAATCTATCATCACACAATAGATTAATACCCGACATGCTTAACTCAAAGGAATAAAGACACAACAAACGGCAACACATGCCTTTGTGACTACACACGTCACAAGAGGAGAACTCACAACAACGGCTACACAAGCCCTCGTGACATCACCCATCACGAGTTGATATGCCTTCCTTATGCCCAGTTCCAACCTTATGGCTACCCCCAACCTTATGTCTAGTTCCAACCTTTACCTCCAGGACCCCTGTACACCAAGTCCAACCATTTCCCTCCGAGGACCGTCATCCCCTCTCCAACAGAACCACCGATTCATAGTACACGAGGGTACCGATCACACACACGGCAACACATGCCTCTACTAAAAACACGTGAACCTTACACAAAGGTCACAACTCCATAATCACGTCATGGCCACCACGAGGACCACTGCAATACCTTGGTGACTAGTGTCCCATACCACTAATCGTGCAATCCAGGTAAAGCCACACACACATCACACCTCAACAGGAATCAATGAACGGATCACAACGATGATATGAAACCATACTCAATAAAGGAATGGATCATAGTCCAACAACAACAACGATGAATAACACAAGTTATCATTTACCAATAAGAAGGTATGAACAACACACACGCTAGCATTTAAACACCGAACTAGCATGCTTAACAAACGGGTAAACCAAACGTAGTTCCGAAGAACACACAAGACCCATCACAGTTCAACGAAACACAATGTCGAACACTTAGCACGATTCAAGACACCAAAACCTACATGGATACCTACCATATAGTTCTAGACATACGAAACATCAAGAAGACGCTCAAATAGTTCCACAAAAGAACATTGGGAAGTTAAAAGACCAAATACCGAGTCAAAAGAATCACGGAGAACAAATCCCCCAACAACCTCATATTATTCCCCGCGGGTGGACCCACGGGTAGGCCCCTACCCGCGGTTCCGCTCGCGGACACATAACCCACAAGCAACATGTACCCCACGGGTGGGCGACGGGTGGACCTCCCACCCGCCGTTCCGCCCGCGGGTACACACCTGTACCAAAATAAATCCCTTCGGGGATTTTCATCTCCAAACTCAAATTCAAGTCCAAAACATGCCAAATCTCACCAAATACAACAAAATGACTTGAATCAAAGGAATAGCCAAGCAATGGCATACAAGAACCCTAAACACAAGCTCTAGATATGCATTTTCACAAGACAATGCATAAACACTCACATTTCATAGCAAAACACATGTAGAATCCAAGAAATCATCACATAGGTAAGCAAAATAGATTTTGTAGAGCATGGGTTACCTCTTGTAGACAAAAACCTTCACCTAACACCTCACCAAGCTCCTAACAAAGCTCACCTTCCAAACCCACTTCAAGAACACACCAAAAGATCATAAAGATTTTATCTTTAAGAAAAGACACCTTAGAAAACACTAAAAACACAAGATGAACATGGATCTTACCCTCCTAGATGCCCAAATGTATGAAAGGTAGAATCTTGGAGACAACTCTTGAAGTCTTGGCAAAGCTTCAACTTGGCTTGGAAGAAAAGCTATCTACCTTTTTAGAGAGAAGGTGGAGCTAGAATTTTGGAAAGTGTAAGGAGAGAAATGAGGGTGTTCTTACTAGGTTAGCTAACAATACTAACACAAAGTGAAAGGTCAAGAATACCCTTACTAACATGAAGAGGTGTAAGGAAACAAGGGAACTCCTTACAAAGCTCAAGGTACAACTTTGACTTTGGGGTTGACTAGTCAATTACTAGTCCCCGACTATTGAATTTTCAGGATTTTAGGAATTAAATTACCAATTGAAATTGGATTAATTATTTAATTAATCCCTTAATTGAATTTGGATTTCGGGGTGACACAATGGGGGTGGGGGGGCATGGGATTCTAATTCCTTGAAAATGATGGAATTTTAATTTCGCGGAATAGCAATTCTCTCCAACCAAACGAATGAATTACTTACCTTCAGAATTATGTGGGAAGTAGGTGGGAATGGAATTGTAATTCCCCCCAACCAAAACGTCATGTAAGTTTCTAATCAAATTTTCCTATTAAATATGTTTATAACGGTAATTACAAATATAGAATTAGGAAAAACTAGCAGAATTGATACTAGCTAATCAATTTCCTAATATAAATTTCGAGTTAATACCTAAAATTGTCCTCGACTATAGTGGTTTTTCTCAATTTCGTCCTAAACGACTTTGGTGACCTAATATAGTCCCAGACTTTTGTGTTTCGCTCAATTTAGTCCTCCGTTTGTTATTCCGTCAAATTGGTGTTAAATAAAGGGACAATTCAATAATATCAATATTGACCTCTCTTTACTTTCAACCTGCGAAGTGAGAAATCTCACTTTCTTACACGAATTACACCCAGAGTTACTCTCAGACTTACGAATCAAATTTTATATTCGCAGCTTTAGAAGTGATTCTGGGAGTAATTCGTAAAAAAAGAGGGATTTCGCACTTCACATGTCTATGAATAAAGAGATGCCAATATTAAAATTACTGAATTGTCCATTTATTTAACAACAAATGGACGGAATAACAAATGGGGAACTAAATTGAGCAAAAACACAAAACTCTGGGACGAAATCGAGTAAAAACACAAAACTCTGGGACTACATTAAGTCACCAAAGTCGTTTATGACAAAATTGAGAAAACCCACTATAGTCGAAGACGATTTTGGGTGTTAACTCTATAAATTTCCTATCATATTTTAATTAATTGATACTTTCCTAATATATCTTATCTAAAAGGCTTCTACCCCTTTTTTTTATAATACTTATCCATATGTTAAGTCGTTTATTATGGTAATCTATATAGTTAATTACCATATACAATTTACCAATCATATACTATTTATTTACCATCTAAATAGCTCGTGGTAATTACCAACCATAATTAACATCTAAATTTATAATTAAACATAGAGAATTCCTCCTTACGACGATTTTATATTTTTTTTTACTTCAAATAATATCAATTACCCGTGCACTTCCTTAAAATTGTGGCAGTTAACTTTTCGATGCATTATACTTTTTGAGTACTAATGACTCTGTTACAATGTAGTATCTGTTCATAACTACTTTCTCAACCTACTGAAGTACAAAGAGTACACTGAGGATCAAAATCATGACCTCCCATTTGGAAGAGCCACTGTGTGTCACTAGATTACACGGTCATTGCCACAAACATTATACTTTTATTAAATTGTTTTTTTAATACTTGACGTAATATAGATTTTATCTAATCAAATAAAGAAATTAATGGTACACATTACTGACATAATTAAAGGAAATTAAACATACATATATTACGGACATAATTAAAGGAAATTAAACATACACATATTACGTCCATAATTAAACGAAATTAAACATACGCATATTATTTTATTAAGAATAATATATACTCCTTTTTTTAAAGCAACCAATGTGGTCATATTTAGAGATAAACTGAAATAAAGTCAGGATGGACAGAGTCACAATACATGGTCGTAGAATGTTCCGAAACTATTGATGCTAAAGTATGAGCTAATAAATTCTGTGATTTAGGAATAAAATTAACTGAGCAGAAATTAAATGTAGACATGCAAGCTTTGCAGCCATCAATAGCATAACCAATATACGATCTGGGCGGGGCCCCTGGTGAGGATAGATAGCACTGCAATGTATGACAATCGGTGTAAAGCTGGATGGCCTGTTCACCACGCGCTCATAGCCATGATAAAGCTTCTTTGCACGCGAACGCCTCGGCCATGAGTGGGGAGAAACAACTCGGTAAAGGGGCACTGTAACACCCCAGATTTTCCATACCAATTTAAACTTATCATGCAGATAATTCTAACCATAAAATCATACACAGCGGAAGACTAGATATGGAATATATGGAAAACGTAGAGTGCTATGTCACGCTCACTCAACAGTGAACGCACAGGCGTAAACATCTGCACAAAATCTATTATCCAAAATAAAGTCAACGACAAAAGGACTAAAGTCTAACATCGGCGCACAGGCCAAATATAACAAGGTTCACGGGGTCTAATCTAACAGTCTTTAGACCGCGCTCTCGTCTACTCGGCACCTGAAAGAAACATATAAGATATGGGACGACGCCCGGTCAGCGAATGATGCTGGTAACCCACCAATACATGTGAAATATCATATGTAGATAGTTTATATATACAAAATCATTTGTGAAACGGGATATAGTATATATCAATTTCAAAACCAAGATAGAAGTCAATCACAAGACTCTTTGCACTCTCAATAACAATAATGGAACACATCCCAAGACACCAAGAAGCAATAATAACTCACAAAGACGGCTCAAGGCATAATCTATCATCACACAGTAGATTAACACCCGACATGCATAAAACAAGAGAATAAAGACACAACCATTGGCAACACATGCCTTCGCGACATCACTCATCACGAATAGAGAAACACACAACAACGGCTACACAAGCCTTCGTGACATCACCCATCACGAATTGATATGCCTTCCTTATGCCCAGTTCCAACCTTATGGCTACCCCCGACCTTATATCTAGTTCCAACCTTTACCTCCAGGACCCCTGTACACCAAGTCCAACCTTATTCCCCCGAGGACCATCGTCCCCTCCCCGACAATCTCCAACAATACCACCCGATTTCATAATACACGAGGTACCGATCACACACGACACACATGCCTTGGTAACACATGTTACCCTTTAACAAATACGTGAACCTTACACACAGGTCACAAACTCAATAATCGCGTCATGGCCACCACGAGGACCACTGCCGTACCTTGGTGACTAATGTCCCATACCATTAATCGTACAATCCAAGTACAACCACACACACCACACCACAACAGGAATCAATCAACAGATCACAACGAAGATATGAAACCATACTCGATCAAGGAATGGATCACAATCCAACAACAACGATGATTAACACAAGTCATCATCCACAATAGGAAAGTACAAACAACACACATGCTAGCATTTAAACACCGCACTAGCATGCTTATCAAACGGGTAAACCAAACATAGTTCCGAAGAACACACAAGACTCATCACTGTTCAACGAATCACAATGTTGTACACTTAGCACGATTCAAGACACCAAAACCTACATGGAATCCTACCATATAGTTCTAGACATACGAAACATCAAGAAGACGCTCAAATAGTTCCACAAAAGAACATCGGGAAGTCAAAAGACCAAAAGCCGAGTCAAAAAAATCACGGGGAACAAATCCCCCAACAACCGCATAACGTCCCCCGCGGGTGGGGACACGGGTGGACCACCGCCCGTGGTTCCACCCGTGGGAACCCTTTGTCCCACGAGTGTGTACCCCGCGGGTGGGGCGGCGGGTGGAGCTCTACCCGTCGTTCCGCGCGCGGGTACATACCTGCACAACAAATAATCCCTTCGGGGATTTTCAACACCAAGCTCAAATTCAAGTAGAAAACATGCCAAATCTCACCAAATACAACAAAATGACTTGAATCAAAGGAATAGCCAAGCAATGGCATACAAGAACCCTAAACACAAGCTCTAGATATGCATTTTCACAAGACAATGCATAAACACTCACATTTCATAGCAAAACACATGTAGAATCCAAGAAATCATCATATAGGTAGACAAAATAGATTTTGTAAAGCATGGGTTACCTCTTGTAGACAAAAACCTTCACTTAACACTTCACCAAGCTCCTAATAAGGTTTACCTTCCACACCCACTTCAAGAACACACCAAAAGATCATAAAGATTCTATCTTTAAGGAAAGACACCTCAAAGGTAGGAAAGGTGGAATCTTGGAGACAAACTTTGAGGATTTGGTAAAGCTCTAACTTGGCTTGGAAGAAAAGCTATCTAACTTTTAGAGAGAAGGAGGAGCTCAAGTTTGGAAAGTGTAAGGGAAAGAATGAGGGGTGTCTTCTAGGTTAGCTTGCATTACTAACATAAGGTGAAATTTCTTGATTACCCTTACTAAAATGAAGAGGTGTAAGGGAACAAGGGAACTACTCTCAAAGCTTTAAGTACTTGACTTTAAGTACAAGGAACAAGGGAACACTTGACTTTGGGTTGACTAGTCAATTACTAGTCCCCGACTATTGAATTTTCAGGAATTTAAGGAATTAAATTCCAAATTGGATTAGGATTAGTTACTAAATTAATCTCTTAATTGAATTTGGATTACGGGGTGTCACATCCTCTCCCCCTTCAAGAAGCTTCGTCCCTGAAGCTTGGGTACAACGAATTAATACAAACGATGAAATAAAGCAACCATGTGACAAGAGTGTCAAGAACATCCTTATTTGGTCAAAACTCAAAGGGTTGAAAAGGTACCAAAAACGAGCAAGAAGTCATGTCATTCAGAAGTTGAAAGAAATAATCAACGGAGATAATGAGCATATCAAACTCTAAACCAACCACAACCACTAACTTCTAACCACAACTAAGGATCTAAACAACTAGCTCCTAAAGCAAGACACAAAACTAACCACACAACAAAACTAGCAAGCAAGAACAAACACACAAGGCAGGCATTAACCAACTAGCAAGCGGCAACACCTACCAATATAAAGGTAGCAACAAGCAAAGGAAGGAAGACGAGATTGCCACAACTCCACCCTAGAAGGACTCGCTTTCCGACTCCTCGGACTCTTCATCAGACTCTTCGTCGGCTCTTCCTTGGCTAGAACAGGTCTCAAGCTGGTCCAACCTCTGGTTAACTGCGACGGGCGGCGTCTTCATAAAAGTGAAGCAACTAAACGAACTAGCCAAACTACAAGCTAACAACCACGGCAAACAAGAGAGAACGACTAAACGCACCACTAAGCAAACAACTACCAACGAACCTACTAACAAAACAAGCAAGGGACACAACAAGGTTCCACAACGAAAACGGTCAGCTTGCGAAACGAATGACAAAGCTTAAGAGATGGGTTGCAAACGAGGTTTTGAGCAACAAAGGTATTCGCCACTAACCAAAGTTAGAGAAAATAAGGGTTTAAAGTAAGGTAGTAAGATTGATAGGCTTGGTCACAACGAATTTCAACACCAAAACCGTCGGTTAACAAAACGAGAGACAAGACTTAGAGATAGGTTGAGGGTTCACAATGGTAAGACAAGAAAGAAAGATAAGGTGATAGATAAACGATTTACCGGAAGGGAAAGCTAACTTCACACCGAGCCTAACTCCTGCTCAAAACTAGCCAACGATCAACTCAAAACGAGACGGCTCAGCTAAGGAACAAGCCACAAACAGAAACTGACACCACAAGAACCCTAAACTAGATCACTCGGGATCACAGAACCAGGGTTGCATCTTCAACTGATCTCTGCTGGCTTCTTCAACCAAAGGAAACAAGGTACTCCCACTACTTAACTTGAGCTCGACATCTGCGTGAACTTGATCCGTCACTTCTGACAAAAGCTTCAACTGCTAGATCAAAAACACGAGTTGGATGTCCTTCTCTCCGGCTCTAGGGTGAACTTGATGCAGGCTACCGACTTAACACTTGCATTAGCACACCACTTCCAGCTCTCTACAAAGCAACGCTTGAAACTTCAAAACTTCGGTCCGGATGAAAGGTTCAGAACAGGAACGGTAACAAAAGAGAAAGGTAACTTAAGGGAAAGAAGGCTCACAAGAAGAGATGCGGTTCAATGGTAAGGATTAGAGTGAACGGTTTTAGGGTTTGAAAACTCGAAGATCTCATTGGTTAAGAAGAGAGAAAAGATGAACAGGGCTACAACTTAGGAAGTAAGGAATCAAAACGAGGTTTTAGGGAGTTGAAAGAATTTCCTCACGGAGGGTATCCGATTTAAAACTCAAGGATAGCGTTGATTATGAAGGGAATCAAGATTTTCAAAGTCGCAACTTAGGAAAGATGATGTCGTAACCTTGAACAGAGTCAAATCGAGAAGGGAACAAGAAGGGGATTTGAAAAGACATGAAGGATTTCTCGAGAAGGGCAAGGGATTTGACGAGGGTGAGAGAAGAAGATCGGCTTCACGAGGTAAAAGGGTTCACGACTTCCGGTGAAACTTCGGCTTGACGATGATAACTATGCTTGTTGAACTGAAGGCTCTCTACCTCGACTCGGACGCGGCTTAACTCTTAGACCTTGCCAGATTCCCTCATAAGCTGATGACACCGCCGCCTTGCACAAGATAGTTTGGAGGGAAAACAAGAACAAGGTTCGGAAGAAAATGATTACTTGGCAAAAAGGTGACTGGGTTTGTCTAAGGGAAAGGAAAGATTAACGAGGGTCAAGGGTAACACTCAAACAAGCTAACGCTCGAAGCTAACACACAGGAAAGGCACAAAGACGAAGGGAGGTGCAACAGAAAGGTACAAGAGCTTACTTCAACGGTTCCCACTTGCGTCTGACTCACGACTGTGGAACTTGTCTTGACGAGGTCCCGCCTTCGTACACAGGTCCGGGATGCCATTTCCACTTAGTCCATTGTTGCTTCCACTTCGATGTTCACTTCTCGACCGGGGTCTCACACTACCAGCTGGTTTTGAGTCCGCTGAAGTCTTCCTCTTAAACTTGCACTCGAAGGACCGGTGACCTTTCTTGCAACAAGAAAAGCACTCTATCGGTTTCCCATGACAGACGACGCCGGGGTAGTCACTTCCACACTTCTTACAAACGGAGCGCCTTCCCTTAGCCTTGATCTTTCGGATTGGTTTGGGAGCCTTACCTCTCTTAGAGTCGTCTCTTTGCAGACTTCCTATTGATTCAGCACCAAAAGCCATCAAACTCCTAACCACAGGTGTAACACTTCTGTCAAGCTTCCTCTTACGGTTCTCCCGGATTCCTTTTTGAACTTGTTGTACTCGGTAGAGGTCGGCTGCACAAAGGTAGGCCTCCTTGACTTGAGCAGGATAGAACCGCTTACGTAACTTAACCTTCAGGTCCTCCCAACTAAACTCCGGATCTTGACTATAGATAGGCCTTTCAAGCATCCACCACGAGTCCGCTTCTTGCCGAAGGTAGAACGTAGCCAACTCCACCTTGCGATTCTCCGGGCACACCACAACTTCGAAGATCTTGACAAACATCCGGATCCACTCGTCCAGCACTGCGGAATCTTCTTCACTGGCGAGATCGGGGGACGGAGACTTGCGACTTGGTGTACTGTGTCCCGACTCCCATTCTGAAGAGGGTGGTTGTTGAGGAGGGCGTTGCTACGCATCTGGGTGACCTGTGTCAAATGATGAAGGCTTTGAGCTAACTGTTCACTGGTGACTGCTTCTGAAGACCTTGCACGACGTCTCGATGGTGCCATCCTCGACTTCTACAGCAACAGTGCGATAACGGGAGGAAACTTAGGACCCGCACCATTACCTGGTGCCTTAACTAAAGAGAACCAAAGCTAAAAGGAAAACAAAGCACAGAAAATGACACAAGAACTCACAACCTCACCGCGCGTCTTAATGTCCTAAGTCCTAAACACTTAGATTCTTACAGTCCCTTAGGGTCTCAAACCACACTTAACCACTTAGAAGTCTAGACTCTATCATCCTAGGCTCAAACCTAGGCTCTAATACCAACTGTAACACCCCAGATTTTCCATACCAATTTGAACTAGATATGGAATATATGGAAAACGTAGAGTGCTATGTCACGCTCACTCAACAGTGAACGCACAGGCGTAAACATCTGCACAAAATCCATTATCCAAAATAAAGTCAAGGACAAAAGGACTAAAGTCTAACATCGGCGCACAGGCCAAACATAACAAGGTTCACGGGGTCTAATCTAACAGTCTTTAAACCGCGCTCTCGTCTACTCGGCACCTGAAAGAAACATATAAGATATGGGACGACGCCCGGTCAGCGAATGATGCTGGTAACCCACCAATACATGTGAAATATCATATGTAGATAGTTTATATATACAAAATCATTTGTGAAACGGGATATAGTATATATCAATTTCAAAACCAAGATAGAAGTCAATCACAAGACTCTTTGCACTCTCAATAACAATAAGGGAACACATCCCAAGACACCAAGAAGCAATAATAACTCACAAACACGGCTCAAGACATAATCTACCATCACACAGTAGATTAACACCCGACATGCATAAAACAAGAGAATAAAGACAAAACCATTGGCAACACATGCCTTCGCGACATCACTCGTCACGAATAGAGAAACACACAACAACGGCTACACAAACCTTCGTGACATCACCCATCACGAATTGATATGCCTTCCTTATGCCTGGTTCCAACCTTATGGCTACCCCCGACCTTATATCTAGTTCCAACCTTTACCTCCAGGACCCCTGTACACCAAGTCTAACCTTATTCCCCCGAGGACCGTCGTCCCCTCTCCGACAATCTCCAACAATACCACCCGATTTCATAATACACGAGGTACCGATCACACACGGCACACATGCCTTGGTAACATATGTTACCCTTTAACAAATACGTGAACCTTACACACAGGTCACAAACTCCATAATCGCGTCATGACCACCATGAGGACCACTACCATACCTTGGTGACTAATGTCCCATACCATTAATCGTGCAATCCAGGTACAGCCACACACACCACACCACAACAGGAATCAATCAACGGATCACAACGAAGATATGAAACCATACTCGATCAAGGAATGGATCACAATCCAACAACAACGATGATTAAAACAAGTCATCATCCCTAATAGGAAAGTACAAAGAACACACATGCTAGCATTTAAACATCGAACTAGCATGCTTATCAAATGGGTATACCAAACAGTTCCGAAGAACACACAAGACTCATCACAGTTCAACGAATCACAATGTTGAACACTTAGCACGATTCAAGACACCAAAACCTACATGGAATCCTACCATATAGTTCTAGACATACGAAACATCAAGAAGACGCTCAAATAGTTCCACAAAAGAACATCAGAAAGTCAAAAGACCAAATACCGAGTCAAAAGAATCACGGGGAACAAATCCCCCAACAACCACATAACGTTCCCCGCGGGTGGGGCCACAGGTGGACCATCGCCCATGGTTCCACCAGCGGGAACCCTTTGTCCCACGAGTGTGTACCCCGCAGGTGGGGCGGCAGGTGGAGCTCTACCCGTCGTTCCGCCCGCGGGTACATACCTGCACAACAAATAATCCCTTCGGGGATTTTCAACACCAAGCTCAAATTCAAGTTGAAAACATGCCAAATCTCACCAAATACAACAAAATGACTTGAATCAAAGGGATAGCCAAGCAATGGCATACAAGAACCCTAAACACAAGCTCTAGATATGCATTTTCACAAGACAATGCATAAACACTCACATTTCATAGCAAAACACATGTAGAATCCAAGAAATCATCATATAGGTAGACAAAATAGATTTTGTAGAACATGGGTTACCTCTTGTAGACAAAAACCTTCACTTAACACTTCACCAAGCTTCTAATAAGGTTTACCTTCCACACCCACTTCAAGAACACACCAAAAGATCATAAAGATTCTATCTTTAAGGAAAGACACCTTAGAAAACACTAAAACACACAATATAAACATAGATCTTACCATCCTAAATGCTCAAAGGTAGGAAATGTGGAATCTCGGAGACAAACTTTGAGGATTTGGTAAAGCTCCAACTTGGCTTGGAAGAAAAGCTATCTAACTTTTAGAGAGAAGCAGGAGTTCAAGTTTGGAAAGTGTAAGGGAAAGAATGAGGGGTGTCTTCTAGGTTAGCTTGCATTACTAACATAAGGTGAAATTTCTTGATTACCCTTACTAAAATGGAGAGGTGTAAGGGAACATGGGAACTACTCTCAAAGCTTTAGGTACAACACTTGACTTTGGGTTGACTAGTCAATTACTAGTCCCCGACTATTGAATTTTCAGGAATTTAAGAAATTAAATTCCAAATTGGATTAGGATTAGTTACTCAATTAATCTCTTAATTGAATTTGGATTACGGGGTGTCACAGGCACTGTACGCGCGATGTATCCTTCGTCAGCGTCGAGTAATACTGCACCTACCGTGGCTGGGTTGATGGCGTGATAATAACTGGCATCTACGTAACACTTCCTTGGCCGTATGCCAGCAGTGTCCACCGTAGTAGCAGGCTCCAGCAGTGGAGGCAGGGACGTTCCGGCAGTGGCGGCAGCAGCAGTGTTGCCGGCAGCATTCCGGTAGGCAGTTTATTTAATTAACAAAATGCCTTCTGTTGTATTAAATAATCTCAGTCCACACTTTAAAGTGCATAATTCCAATCCCTCCTATTCTTTTCTCCGTGTCTTTGGGTGTTTGTGTTATCCATATCTCAGGCCATATAATCGACATAAATTCTCGTTCCGGTCCACTCCATGTGTTTTCCTAGGTTATCCTGAGTCGTTTCGGGGTTATAGATGCATGGACTTACAGACTAACAAGATTTATGTGTGCATGCATGTAAGGTTTGATGAAATAGTTTATCCGTTTGCTACTAAAAATATTGTGCAGCCATCTCCATCTGAGAAATTCTATCCGTGGGCTGAGTCGGTTCTTCATCCCACTGCGATTTTGCCGCCACTTGATCCTGTTGCCGTCCCACCCACTACCGCCGGCAGTGATTCGGACTCATCTCCACCACCGCCTACTGCTGCCGCCGGTCCATCTACCTCGCCGAACCGTGAGCTACCTGTTGAGGTCGTCCAGCCCGTCAAACGCCCACGTGGGCGTCCTCGCGGGAAATCAATCAAGTCTACAGTTCGGACCCATGAGATGCACACTCGGAGTCAGTCTCGGGCTTCACCTTCTATTTTAACAGTTCAGGTTTGTCCTTCGGATCCCACTTGTTACACACAGGTTGTTAAACATTCAGAATGATGAGAGGCTATGGATCAAAAATTTAATGCCCTACTACAAAATCAGACTTGACAACTTGTGCCATCTCAGTCAGATATGAACATCATTAGGTGTAAATGGATTTTTTCGTACAAAATGGAAAACTGATGGTTCCATTGAGAGGCATAAGGAAAGCTGATGGTTCCATGAAATTAAAATACACTTTGCCTCATCAAAATCTATAACATATATCACTAACATACACTAAAAGTAATATGAGAACAATAGTTCTGATAAAATACTGATTACTGTAATTTTTTTTAATCTTATCCCAACAAAATTCATTGTTATTCATTACAAACACTCAAACTGTATTTAAATCCTATTAGAAGAAAATCATAGATAAACAAATCATGTGCGGAAAAAAAAAATTAAACTAATAATTTAAAACTGTGAGACAATTTAAAAGAATTAACTTAAAATTATTTCATAACATTCTGTTTAGCAACACTTACTTCCATGTGAAAGATCCCTAAGCTTTAAAATTACACAGCATTGGTCTCTGAAATGGAAAGTTAAAATAATCTTAAGTACCACAATTGCGAAACCAATATTTGTTCATGGTCATCACAAAATAATTGTACTTCTAATATTAATGTAATTTACAAAGAGATTTTTAATAATTTGTAATTTAATATTTTTTTCAATAATATTATCTTTTTATTGTAGAATAACATAGTATTTTCATTAATATAATAGTACCACTAACAAACACTAATGGCCCGTTTGGTTTACGGAATAGGCTGAGAATAGCATAACATTTCTAGTAATGGACCTATTCCTTTGTTTGGTAACATTTTCTATTATCAGGAATAATATTCCTAGTAATAGCTTATTCCCCCAAATAAGGTAATAGCTATTCCATAATCAATATTTTTTTTCATAATAATAATAATAATAATAATAATAATAATAATAATAATAATATTATTATTATTATTATTATTATTATTATTATTATTATTATTATTATTATTATTATTATATTTTGTATAAGGGTAATTATTCTTTTAAACATATATTCCATTTCTATTCATTTAACCAACCATTGAAATAAAGTCTATTCCTTCAGCGAACCAAACAATAGAATACAATTCATGTTTTATTCCTTACCTATTCCATTCCTTAGGGAATAGCATTCCTACTCCATTCCTTATGGAATAGCATTCCTATTCCTTCTAAATTCATTCCGTAAACCAAATGTGATGTAAAAGTAATATGAAACAAAAAATAAAGTAAAAAATATTTTTAAAAAATAAACAAAAAAATAAGAATTGATTTGACTAATGAACAATATCTAAGAATCACT